ACAAGGGTGTTCCATCAGAGAAGAAGACCTTCTCAGACCAGAATCAAAACAAAGAGGAGCGTACACTATCGCTCATTAAAAACGCTGTCCAAGAAGCTAAGAGTGTCAGTAAAAAAATTCAGATCAAAGAGAAGCCACCGGATGCTCAATCAATTCACCAAATTCGAGGTAAGATTCAAAACCCTCATAAATTTCAATGGAATAACTTGATATATCTATGTGCAGGTGATCAAGTTTTGAGGTCAAAACTTCTTGAAGATGGAGGATATGATGAGGACATCCAAACTATACCAAATTGGAAGCAAACAAAACTAGCTGGTTTGAGCATTAAACCAACCGTACTAGACCATATTGCAAGTTTTGGAGAGTTTCAGCTTATCAACATGTGGTCCAGCCCAATATGGAGTTCACACAGTCATTTGATCAATCAAGAAGTCTCAGCTCATGGAGAAACACCTAGGAGAAGACGCAGATCGAAACCGTCTTTTAAATCCATTATGCGGATCTGTTTGGAGGTAAATAAAGAAAGCTATCAAGATACGTTTCCATACTTCTTATGGGAATCAGGAGACACTCTAGATCAGATAGAAGCTTTACCACACGAGCCTTGGTGCACCTTACCACACAAGAACCTGCTTAATCATTACTTGCCATTTTTGGAACCAAATGAGATCAATCAGCAACGACTCTTTCTTGGATATTGCTGCTGCGTTTTGAAGTCATATTCAGTGCATCTAGATGTCCCAAGATCGCATCACTTTCAGCCCAAGCTTTCAAGACTCAAGCATCCACAACTTGCCTTATATGGACCGATTTTCTCTTTAATATTCCAACGGCTCTCTTATTTATTTTCGTGCGATTTATTTATGTTTTTGTAGCCATTAGAACTTTGTAACTGAGCCTATAAAAGCTCAGCTCTTGATTCATTCTAAATTATCCTTGATCATAGATTAATACAAAGTTTCTAGTTTTTCTTTCAAAAAGTGTCTTTGAAAATTGTTCTTGTTCTTTTGAATAAAAGTGTGTGATTCACTTCTATTCTTTAGAAGTCACGAATTAAGTGTGTTTGTGAGATTCAAACATCCTTGTTCGTCCATTTGATTGAGCGAGTCAATCACTTTCCTTATATCTCTACCATCGTTTCCACATTCCGCAAGTTTAGGCTTAGAATCTCTCGATCATCGAGTGGTCTTAGAATTGGAGTGATTCCAATCCTATATCAGAGTTAGTTGGGAATTTGGTCTCACATTGTACATGCCGAGTGGAGTTGTGGCACACATAAATTAGTCATTGCACCTTGACATGCTATGGATTTGGATCAATAAAGGAAGAGATTGTTGTTTGATTCCTATCACTTGTTCATATGATCTTGTTGACTTTGAGGATAACTTGTCAAAAACATGCATCATGCATGGTGTAACGCCTCGACCGCCGTCGAGCTATCGGTATGCAGGGAAAATCCTCATCCCCTCGAGAGAAATCCTCATCTCTCAATAACATACAGGGAAATCCTCATCCCTTCAGGAAAAAT